CCCCCCCCCCCCGCCCCCGCCCCTTCACCCTCAAGAAGCTTCTCAGTCCTTTACACAAAACCCAGAGGAATCCTAAACGGCTCCCAGTGCTGTCATAGGCTTCCCTTGAGGGATTTTGGGTTTGGGGTTGCTTTGAGGGATTTTGGGTTTATGGTTTAGGGCTCCTCTGAGGGATTAAGGGTTTAGCGGTTAGGGTTCCTTTGAGGGATTTTGAGTTTAGGGTTCTTCTGAGGGATTAAGAGTTTAGGGTTTAGGGTTCAATTGAGGGATTTAGGGTTTAGGGCTCCGGTTTAGGGTTTAGGGTTCAATTGAGGGATTTAGGGTTGAGGGTTCCTTTGAGGCTGCTATGCTAGGGTTCGTTGAAAGTCCTACTTCAGCAGAGTCGAGGGGCAGCGCTGGACCTCCGCCGGATCAGTTCCTCCGAGCACGGCCGTGAAGAGGCCGATGCCAGCATTGTTCACCTGGGCTTGTTGAGGGGTGTCGGGCTTATAGGGATGGCTTAGCATTTAGGGTATAGGATGGTTTCGGGTTTAGGGTTCTTGTAGGGTTTAGGGTTTAGGGAAGGGTTCTTCTGAGTGAACCCGTAAGCGTTACTATAGAGGATACTGCAAGAGTGGAAGAAGGGTGATGGGATAGGGGTCATGATAAGGGGATGTGGTGGGGGTATAATACAAGGCTCCTTCGGAACATGGGCTTGCGGTTGTATTGCGGGGCTACCCGTAGCACAAGGGTAGTTGCCGAAATCGTATACGAACCCAATGCTAATTAACATGTGGGTAGTTCTCTAGATTAGGGTCCCTTTTTAGGTCCCCAATATAGTACGGCACCCTTGTGAAACGGGCCCCCAAAGGGACCCTAATTTAGAAAACTACCCATGTATCACAACAAGACTCACGAACATGACCTAAACCCTAAACCTAAACCCTAAACCCTAAGCCCTAAACCCTAAACCCCTAAACCCTAAACCCTAAACCCTAAACCCTAAACCCTAACATTAACAGCAGTAGTGCAACCAGCTCCTGCGACACATGGCACCCGAAACCCGAAACCCTGCGCTCGAAGACGGAACCCTAAGCCCCAAAACCCTGAACCCTAAGTAACATGGGGGCCTGTAGGGTTTTTGGGGTATACTTTACTATAATTATACGAAAGAAACCACCAAAACCCTATTCTAATTATTAAAGGCCGGTGGTATATTTTACTGTAAGTATACTAAGAAATCCCCCCAAAACCCTATTCTAATTATTAAGGCCCCTACACTAAACCCCCAAACTCAGCTCAAGCTACCAAGCCATCGAGTCCCCCCGGGCCCGCCAGACGCAGCGCTTCGTCCAGCAGCCGGGCACAGAAGGCCTGTTGGGATCTTATACTTCCTATAGGGTCATACCCTACCCCTTTGTTAAGACACCTAGGTTTATGGTTAAGGGGTAGGGTATGACCCTATAGGTTGGGAGCTGAGTAGCCTAGCTCAGAAAAGGTTATAACCTTTTGAGATATCGTAGGATTACAGAAGCTTCACCAACAAGGGTTGACCTTTCGCATTATAGTAGGATTACCTAAGCACCCCAAAAAGGTGACTTTTTGAGTTATGGTCGGATTACATAAGCACAAAACAGTTGACCTTTTTGAAGTATAGTAGGATTAAATATAAGCCCTAGAAAAGGTTGGCGTTTTGCATTATAGTAGAATTACAGAAGCGCCAAGAAAAGGTTGACTTTTTGAAATATAGTAGGATTGCATAAGCCCAAAACGGGATAAAGCTTATCTACTCAGCCTCTCAATCGAGGGCTCATGGAGTTTAGGGCTTGTAGGGTTTAGGGCTTGGGGTTTGTAGGGTTTAGGGTTTTGCCGGTTTTAGGGTTTGGGCTTTAGGGCTTAGGGTTTAGGGTTTTGCAGGTTTTAAGGCTTAGGAGTTCCACCTATGGGAAGGCTTCGAGGCTTCTACACCTACTTGTTTGAGGGATAGTATAAGGGGCTCACCGTAAGAAATCCTTGCAAGCCCTACACCCGTTTAGAGGCTGAGGCTGAAACTCTGAACATGTGTAGGGCTTGCAAGTATTTTAGTAAATCGTAGTACATTACAGCAGTGTATATCATAATGTATGCCGACAAGCCCTCGCAGACCCAAGCTCAGCCGCAGGCATAGAGTTCTAAACCCTAATGTCCTGAAACACTCACGCCTTCAAAGCTGCACAGGCACACAAGCCCAAAAGGTCCAAAGGACCTATGTGGTAGAATGTTGGGTTTCTCTGTTGGGAACCCTTATTTTGTTTTGGGAAAGTATCCACCATAACAGTGCCTAGGACCGCTTGGGGAAAGACAACCTTCAGAGCAAGTCCGAACAGCTGAACAACGAGCATTAGAAAGACGTTGAAACGCTTTGGAAACACCACTCAAACGCCCCGAAGCCACAGAGAGCCCTTTAAGAGCCGTTAGCTCCAAAACAACACTGCAGCATGAATGCAGTAGCCTTCAGCAACCTAAACCCCTAGACACTAAAACTTCAACCCTCACGAACATGACCCGTACAGAAACTGTGTAGAACCGTTAGAGAACTGACGAAAACACCCATGCCTCATCTGCGAGGTCGCCTACCGGGCCCTCAAGAATTCCTTCGCTCTTCGCAAAGTCGCGTAGGCTCTCCTCGCCATAGCACAGGTGCAAAGAGTATAGAACTTAGGGTTTAGGCCCGTTTAGGCTCTTTAGGGGATAGCAACTGATTCAAACGTCCGCAATCATGCAGCGGCTGAGTGTTTGCTCTGAGCCGTGCCTGGTTGGACGGAAGGTCAGTGATAACCACGCGTGCCCCGCACTGGCACAAGTACTCCGCAATGGCCTGCTTCATGAATTTAGATTAGAAAGAACACCAAACTTGCCGATGTGCACGGTCCCAACTCGAAGCCTTGTGCAGTATTCAATTACTCAAGCCCAGCCAACAAAACACCAGTGAGAAATGGCAAATCTATCAATTCGACTTCCAGTCCTATAAACCACAAGGACAAGACTAAGAATGACGGACGGCTATTGCTAGTACGCTATTGCAGGTACACAAATGGTCAGCGTCCCAGAGAATGTTCGAGGACGTAAGCATACGAAGAACAAGAACACTTATCAGGTCCTTACCCTGAACCCTACCTTAAGAACCCAAAACCAACTTTTCTGTAGGGTCCCCAAAAATCCCATATTAGGGTTTATCATAAGAATCTACAAAAAAGTGGGTTTGGGGTTCTGAAGGTATAAAATTTACCAAAATCCCAGTAGAAACCATAAGCACTACTTAAAGGATCATGGGACTTAGTAAGTAGGGTTATAATTAGGGTAACTATACTTATAACCCCAATTAAGGGACTTATAACCTTACTTACTAAGTCCCATGATCCTCCAAGTTCCCCCACACGCTTCTGAAAGCCCAAGGACAGCCAAAGGTGCCTTGCCGAGCCCCCTGGCCGAGCCCGTCACCAGAAAGCAGGCGCCCAAAAGCTTGGAGCTTGACGAGCCGGACGCGGACATGGTGGACTTTTTTCGACTGGTCAGTCTCTTTGGTTGAAGGGGATAGGATTTCGGACAATTTCTGAGGCCTTGGAGACAAGACTACCTGCGTTCTTTCTGTAGTCATGCGACGTTTGGCGATGGCGTGACAGACAGCATTTGTTGAGGCATGGCTTTCTGCAAGCCTTTCACAGAAACATCCCGGGGACTATCCAGAGCCGCGAATGCTGAGACGGCAGGTTGGGGAGGGGGAGGGATGTCTAGGCATTCAGAGAGTTTGGGGCTAAGCGTTTGGGCTTTAGAGACATGTTTAGAATAATCAGGATTGCAATTTGGACTTTAAGGCTCATTTCATTCATGCTTCCATTGCGGACTGTCCCGAAGCAGCCGCATGATGACGAATTGACAGGAGCGTTGCCATTGCCATTGCGATCTGAGCATGCCTGACGGACCCTAAACCCTAAAGCCCCAACCTCCAAACCTTCACCCCCAACCACAAGGAACCCTAAAACGGAGCTCACAAGGGAAGCAGGAAGGGATCTATGCAGCCTCTAGGTTGACGTACCATATACTCGTGCCCTATAGGTGTACCTCGGTAACGTAGTAACTCAAGGGCATATAATTATAGTCACGTGTATGTATGCATATATATTTATATGTACTTATTTATTGTTTTTGATGTTACATGTGAGAATATCTCTATATCTCGCTATATATATATATATATGTACGAACATAAAGAGGGGGAGGGAGAGAGTGTGTGTGCGTGTAAAACGATTTAGTACACACCAAACATGTATAATGCACGGTGTGTTTACATACATATATGCATACACAGTTAGGGAACCCTGAGGAATAACATGTTAAAGTAATCTCTCTCCTCATGTGGAAGTGCCCATCCGTGCCTCGCGGATAGGCTTGCCTTGTAACCTCCTGAACAAGGGCGTAGCAGGAACTGTAGTGGGTTGCTAGGGTCTTTGCAGGGCTTTCACACGATTTGAAGATGAAGCTGTACTTTCTAGAGCTGTTTGAGTAGAAAATGGTCACGACATGAACGCTGATTAAGGCCACTAAGCCAGAACGCAGTGCAGGCCCTTCGTGCAACTCGAAACAACAGACACCCGGCACCTGCTACGCCAAGGGCGTTCATAATTAGAATAGGGTTTGGGGGGGGACACATTATGGCACCTAATATTGGTAACTACTCAGGCTTTTGCAGTACTTCATGCAAGCCGGTCGCTCTTCCAAACCACAAGCTAAAGAGGATCAAGGTTTAGGATCAGAGCTTAGGTTTTAGGGTTTAGGTGTTAGGGTTTAGGGTTTAGGGTTTAGGTTGTAGAGCGCCCACATTCAGAGGGTGTGACATAGCCCTAGAGCAGCAGGTTGTTGGATCCGCAATCAAGACCTGCACATGTAAACCATATCTCGGATTCAGCAACTCTGCGGAATCTTAGCATCTTTTCTGCGACTTGCAGGACTCACTCCCGAGCCCTGACGCAGAGATCGCTTCGAGGGATGGTGACCAAAGAACAAGTGATCCTGGTCCGTCTTGTCCTCTTAAGGGACAAACAGGTCCTCGTCGACCTCTGGTGTGAACCGATTCTTCGGCACTTGTGACGGTTGCGATGCTTCCAGCGGGTCCACTGGCTCAAGCTCCTCATCTTCAGAGTTGATTGTGACCTCAACTGGGAGACCACGATTCACATGAGTTACCCCCCGCAGCCTTCCAGAACCCTGCTAAAACCCCTATAGAACTTCAGCTTGTTAAAGCCCGCGTAGAACTTTCCAGCGGAAGCCCTGAACCCTAAACCCCTAAACCCTAAACCCCAAACCCCTAGACTCTAAACCCAACCCTAATATGAGCAAAGCTGTTTCGCGCTTTGGGGCCAAAGGGGTGATCGGCTTGAGGTCTATGGTCTTAGGGTTTGAGGGTGTCAGGCTTAGGGTTCAAAGCTTTAGAGTTATAGGGATTTGGGGTTTATCCCCGCTTCAGGGGTTAAGGTTTAGTTAGTTTGGTTAATGTATAAGGCCTTAATAATTAGAATAGGGCTTTGAGGTACATTATACTATAATTACAATAAGGAACCGTTAAAATAGTTAGGTAATCATTAAGGCCCCTATATTAGTAGGGCTCTCTAGGGTCTAGTGGTCTGTAGTTTGGGGGTGTAGGGTTGGGGGCTACCGGGTCGTAACATCTACAGCTATAGTGCCTTGGGTCTTGGAGCTATAAGATCCTAAGGTCTACGGCTTCAGGGTTTTCAGGTTAGAGGGCATGGCGCTAGCGTTTCAACTTAGGGTTTTTAGGGCTATAGGGTCTTATGGTCCATAGCTTCAAAGCTCAGCGTTCAGGGCCTAATGTGCATGCTTTTCGGCTTAGGGCGAATAGTTCAGAGGGGGGTATAGGTGGGCAGGGACTGTCGGGTTGGCCGTGTCCAACCTGTTGGGCTTACAAGCCTTACAAGCAGGGCTTATGTAGTCTAAGGCACGAAAGGCTTGCAGCTTAAATCTCAGGACTTAGCTTGCTTGTTTGAACTGTCTTTGATAGACGTGCTCACCTAAATACACAACCTCCACTGCAGATCCTGATTTCGGAAGCCCATCAGGAAAAAGATGACGGTACAAATCCCTTCCGGGATATGGCCCCTAGACCATAAATCCGTTCACCCTTCAACCCGGAAACCTGTAATCCCGCAAATCCTAAAACGTGCCTTGAACTTAAATCCTCAACCCTACAAATCCTACCTGAGTGCAGATGACAAGATGTACAATGTAGAGCCTAAACAACTAGAATAGGGTGTTGGGCTCGTTGGCCGTATAGTGATAATAAGAATCCCCAAGGAATAATATTGGTAATTATTTAGGCTTGATTTTTACCTTTATCAAGGCATCTTTCATTGTCAACATCCACCAGGGCCTCTAAGACCTCAATTCACTAGCCTGGAAGGACTCAGCCCCTACAAAACAAAACTCTTCAAAGACACTTGTAACATCCCATAAAGACCCGTCTAAGGCCTGATTCCAAAACCCTTCAAAGCCTGTCTGCTGATGAAACAATTCCCGGCCTTTCTTCCTCGTTCTCCCACAGCGATTCATGGTCCTGCGATTGGGCTTTCAGAAACTTTCGCGTGCTCGAGGAGCTTGTATGATGTGTTTGCAACACCTCCACCATAAACCCCTAAACCCTAAACCCTGAACCCTAAACCCCGAAAGCCAAAACCCCAGGCCGATTGTCGCAAAGTTGCAGAGCCCCCAAAAGCCAAACCCCGAAAGTCTCACTCCCCAAAACCCAAAAACCACCCCAAGCCCAGACACCTAACCTGATTGTACCAACTTATGTTTATGTTAAGGAGAGGCGGAGGGGAGTAGCATTGGTTCTTATTCCTAGCTTTAGGAAACGTCATGGTGTCGGAACATGCCAGGGTGTGCGTCGGCCTGCCTTGATATGATTTCTTCCGGGTATAAGGCGAACAAACACTCCCGTCATTCCGGCTGTAGGGCTCAAGATTCTAGGATTATGTTTTGGATTCTGAGGGATCACCGTCAAAGCCTTACTGCTTGAATGTGTCTGCTTCTTCATCTTCCTTCCCTAAATAATCCTCACGACTAGCCAGCCCCAGTTCCCTCGATCCTCCAGGTCAACCCCCCTAAACCCTAAACCCTAAACCCCCAACTCCCACACTTACCCAACGCACAAAAGCATGGTCCCATCGGCCCGACACGTCCGAAAGCTCCCAACCCGCAGAGGAGGGTTTAGGGTTTAGGGGTTTAGGATTTAGGGCTTTAGGGTTCAGGGTTTAGGGTTTATGCTTTGGAGTTTAGGGTTTAGGGTTTATGGTTTAGGGTCCTCCCATTTGCCCTGGCATGTCAAACACTCCCAGGCTGAGCTGAAGCTGTGGCAGCCGCAGCCTCAGGCAAAATTACGACAGACGCAAATCAGGTCAGGTGAAAGGCTATAACCCAAATCCAAATTAGCCAAATTTCTAAGAATACATTAATTATGGCCGACGGCCACCTTAAGCATCAAAATGAAATATACAATTTCCGTAATTCATCGAAGAAATTATTCGCATCATTGAAAAATACAAATTCAAATATTCGGCCACGAATTCAATCAAGTCCTTATGAGCGCTGATATGCCAAATCCTGCGTGAAAGGCCTTCGGAAAGGGGCTACTAACTAGAAATGGAATCAGAAAGTCTCAACGAGGTTGATACAGCTCTTGACATGCAGGCAACACCGCTCACACAACACCCAAATACGAATGCACAGGTTCGAGAAGGAGAGACCATGTATGGAAGACTGACGCCGTGTGCTCGTTTCAACGCTGCTGGTTTTGTAAAATACGGT